AATTTTATTTTGGTCTCTGGATGGAGCTGATGACTTACCGAACATGAATGAACCCAGTGGAAAACCTGCTTTATCAATCAAATTATTTTTCCAGTGCCGAGCCAAAAGAAGTTGAAAATGTTTTAGACACGAGAAAAGCAGAAGATGTCGTGGAAATACTCAGCGATTCTGAAAATGAGGAGTCTCAAGTTGAAGATATGGACACTTTGACCATTTCTCAAGAAGAAGAAAAAGATAGAGCCGAAAAAAATAAAAGTTCTTCCTCGGAAGATAGTAAATCTGTGTCAAGCAAATTGGAGCAAAAATTAAACATTACCCCTAGTAAAGTACTGAGCCCCAAACAGAAACAAAAGCGCTTGGAATCTGAAAAGAAGCGCGTCGAAAGGCAACAAGAAAAAGAGGAAAAAGAACGATTAAGAAATGAGGAAAAAGAGAAAATAAAACAAGAAAAATTAAAACAAAAACAGGAAAAGGATGATCAAAAAAAGAAGGAACGAGAAGTGAAGGAAGCAGAAAGACTGAAGAAAATAAAGGAAAAGGAGGAACAAAAAAAAAAGGAAAATGAAGAAAGGGAGCAAAAGAAACGCGAAAAAGAGGAAAAGGAAGAACAGAAACGTAAGGAAAAGGAACAAGAAAAAATAAAAAAGCAACAAGAAATGGAGGAAAAAAATAAGGAGAAAAATAAACAACAAGAAGTAAAGCAAAAAACTGCAGCGGCTTTTGTGAATTTCTTTGTAGCTAAAAAATCAGACGGCATATCAACTTCTAAAAAGAGCGAAGAAAACGAAATATCCACCTATTTTAAACCCTTCGAAGTAAAGTCTGACATGAAATTACCACTTGAACGGCGGGAACCGTTGGGCGAATCCTGCAAGGATTATCTAGTAGAGGTAATGGAAAAGCAAGATAAAAGTAAATCATATCTTAAGGACTTAAAATCGGGTAAAAAACTTGGTAAATGTGAAAAAACTTGGCCTTACGAAGAAGAAACCGATGTGGTTATAATTGAGGAGGAAACTAACTTGGGTGAGACCATTTACGAAGACAAAACTAAAGTAAAAACTTTGAGGGCAAAGTATCTTAAATTTCACGAAAATAGAAGGCCTGCGTACCATGGAACATGGAAAAAGAAAAGCCAATTTGTCAGTGGAAGAAGGCCGTTTGGCAAAGACAAAAAGGTGTTTGATTACGAAGTGGACTCAGACGACGATTGGGAGGAGGAGGAGCAAGGAGAGTCCATCGAAAACGGTTCGGATGATGAGAAAGAAAACGAACCAGAAGAAGATTATGAAGTCGATAACGAGTTCTTTGTTCCTCATGGCCATCTTAGCGACGATGAAATAGACGATGAGGAAACGTCGAAATTATCTCCGGAAGATCTTAAACAAAAATTAAAGTTGCTAAAGGACGAATTCGATCAAGATATGCAATCAAAAACACAAAAGTTGAAGCCTCGGTCGATCGGTTGCGTTTGGTATAATAAGGATGGTACGTGCGCCGAAGAAGCCATCGATCGTTATCTTAAGCCATTAGCCATTATTTCACAAGGTCAAATTATAATTAAAAAGAGAAGCGAAATTTTTATTCAAGCGTCTGGCAAGAAAAAACAGTTTGTATTGCAGGAATTAGATCCGCAAATAATTACTATGTTTTTAAAATTGATTCACGGGAATACTAATAAAAAAAGGGTTTTGGTTGAACAATTTTTAACCCATATTGCTAATCAGAATCATTCGTTTGAAGTGGGCAAGGGTAGTTTGTACAAGTATTTAAACTTGTTTGCGGATTGGAAAAAATGCACTGAGGATGGTCCTCTTAAAAACAAGCATTGTTGGATTGTTGGTGATGATATTCAGAAAAAGTATAAAGTGGCTTTAGCAGTGGCTGATAAGTCTGAAAATTAAGTTATGTTTAGTATTATACCATTAAGTTTTATAATCATATTATAAATATTATTTTAAAATAAAATAAAAAATTTAACAAGTCTTTCTTATTTAACAAAATTATTACCTAAACATAAAAGTAGGTAAGGATTAAAAAACCACAATGACCAAATAACGTTTATAAGATATTTCACTGTAAAATTGAGGGCAAGTTAGAATTGCAGTGGTTTATTTGCAGTAGCCAAAGAGCCCATAGATCTCGTCAGTACGAAAGAGGTTCAAGTGCCGAGCGTCGTTATAAGCGTAGCAACAGGAGGTCGCCGACTTCGAAAAAACGTCACAGGCATCGCCACGAGAGGACCTTGTCAACGAAGAAGCACAGCCGTCGTTCCTATTCCACAGACCAGGTCAGTATTTTACTATTATATGTTTTGTGATCGATAGGTGAATTGGCCATCGGCGGTAAGAAACTTTAATTTTAAGAGATTTTTCATTAATTTTAATGTCCCGGCGAATACCACCAACTAATTGAAACTGTTCTGTACATTTTAAAGGTTATTTTTATAGATAAAACTTTGTATTAGTAAAACAGTCCCTGTTCACTTTATTAGTCTCAAGTTTTAGCAGTTGAAAAAACTTGGTAAGGGGATTTATAATTAAGGGTCGAACTACCTTTCCCACGCGTTCTAAAAGTAAGCGATCCGGTAAATAGCCGAAAAATTTGTTCCGCTTATAGGTCTCGTTGTAAAAATAAAAGATAGAAACTTTGCACCATTATCGGTTTTCGCGCTACTACGGGTGAAAAAAGTTGTTCAGAATTCGATTGCGCCTCGATTCATAATCAATTTGAAAAGTTTGTCACACGAGCCAAAGGCGATTTTGACGGTTTCACGAGAGCAGAATCTGCAACTCCAAATGTGTTTCAGACTATACTTTTTCTACGTTTCCTAAAAAAACATAGAAAAATTATTTTATCGGAAGAAATTGAGGTTGGATAGATCTAAAAGTTGTTGAAAAATAAACACAGATGCCGCAACCAGTGTTTATTCCGTCATCCGATGATAGAATAATTAATTGTGTTTAAGGAATATATATATATTACATATATGTAATTCCACATTAAAAAGTGATGTTGGAACGGTCTTATTCCGATGGAAGTAAAAAAACTAAATTTTTGGGTTCCTAAAATAAATAATAATAATAAATAAAGTTTTTATTGCATATTCAGTACAATACAGAACATATAATACAAAACATACAAAAGGCCATCGACCGGGGTCCTTCAGCCTGGATTTTTCGTTCAATTTTAGTCCATTTACCGGAAATTGCTTTCTTTTCGAACGAGTGAAGATTTTTCAACTATATTTGAGGAAAACTTACCTTACCTTCTTAACCCTGTCTAAAACTTTTTGAGTTTTTTTTCAATTTTTTTCAATTGCTGAAATTCGAGATAAGTCTAATAAAGTGAAGAGGGACTGTAAACGCGTGCTTATTTGCCAAACGATGGAATCATGTGCTGATTTAAGAGAAGGTGGTTAGATAGGTGTTTGTTTACAAAATTTATGCATTAGCAGCGTGGCGTTGCTTCTAATTGCAAATACGATGATACGGAGGTATCTGAAAGAGAGTATATTTTAAGCTAGGGACGTCTATTTTTAAGTTGGTGTTTTTGAGATGTAACGAGGCAGTGCTGTGTGTGCTGTGGTAGAAGTGAGCCGATGGCGGCCGGCTCTGTTTGGGAACGGCATCGTGCCACTTGATCAGCTGGACCGACCGGCCGGCATGGCCAACTGGACGGCAGCTCAGCGAACGGCGGCCGCCCGCATATTCGCACAGGCGCTGCCCAGTGCCGCTCCCGCGCCCAAAGCATCGCCGCCACCGTCCAAACTCGCCGCCGCCGTGTTACACCAGACCTCGTGGTGGCCGCAAGACATTCCTCATACGACGAACGACGATGAATACGACGACTATTATAATGACGACTATGACGAGGATTCCCTGACACCTACCGAAAAGGTGTGCAAGATATAGAAAAATCCATCTAATAGCGCCAAGTTCGAAATTTCGTGTGAATCAATCACGGTGCATGTCAGTTTTCTTTTCTAATTAGCATAGATTTGCAGTGTGCTTGACTGATACTTAACGAAAAAGATTAATAGGCTGGAATAAAAAAGAACATCCTTTATATCCATGCATGCCACGAAGGCGCATTTATTCGTTGGTATTATTAGAACCATACTAACACGCAAATTCATTTCAACTTTCTTTCGTCGTCGTAATCATTTCAATACAGCAAGAATCAACAATGTGGAGCAATGTTGCTCGGTGCTCCCGAGTCACTTGATAATAATTTTATATTTAGTAGTTATTGTACAAAAGCATCGCATCGCTTGTGAAATAGTTATTTATATCGCGTTTTGTTTTCCTAGCAGGCATTCTTCTCGTGAAACCTTAAATTTACCATGTGTTTGTGATTTATTGTTTGTTATTATCGGTTATGCGTTATCGTCGGTGTTTTTGTTGTTTGTTTATTTTTGTTGAAAGTCAGCGGTGGCGGCGATAGTAGTCGAGCAACGAACTGCAGATGAAGGCAAAGCATCAAAAAGACAAAATTATTCAACACAATGGCCAACTTCTTCTTGACGCATATAAACGAATATTTCGTCTCTTTTTAAGGGTTAGTTGTCTTTTTATTTAATAATTATATTTACACTCTTTTATTATTGATATTAAATAATTATTTATTATTAGATAATTAAATAAAATATCAGTAGCTATTAAATGAATGATGATATGTTTATTGGCTTATAAGTCTGTTTGTAATTTATGTCCAATTCAAATATTTCAAAATAGATAGAGTCTGTGCCACGGTTCTATTGCTCGCTCACCTTAGTAATTTACGTAACTGAAGTTTAGTGCGCGACCGACGGCAAACGTATGGCGACCGAGCTCTTTTCATTAGATATTTTTAGTTTGGCAGTGTTTAGTGGAGCAGGAACGGTCACCAGAGACGCGTATCTTCAGTTTTATCCCGGATAGCAATATCTGCACGTCACCTGACTGACGCGCTAATTAATTTTTGTGAAGTGAAGTGCGGCAAGGGCATGCAAAATACCAATGTACGGCTCTGGTTTGTCCTATTCCTATAGTCGCTATCGTCCTACGTATGACGACGCAACCGATCATTTTGTACGTAACCCTGCAGGGAGCGGGAGTTATAATAATAACAATAATGCATGGCACTCGTACCCGTGGACCAGCAGCTCCGTGCGACCTCCATCAAACACACTAACAACTACCACCAAAACAAACGCCCTCAGTTCACGGGCGACCGATGTCTCCATGGCCAACCCATCCTCATCGCAAACCAATAACCCCTCTGCTGCAAGAAGAACGAGATACGCACGTTCGTCCACGACCAGTGTAGCGCAACTACTCAGTGATTCATGTTCGAGTTTATTGCAAAAGTTAACGACCCGTGTCAGAGGACCTTCCGCAACACTAGAAAGAACATTAGCCAATGCAAGCGGCGGCAGTAGCGGCACTTCAAGCTCAAGTTCAAACACGCACGCCCCGCTACCTTTGCAAACTAGTAAAAGTTCCACGGTTGTGCCAAATTTAGGACAATGCAGGACCAGGCTCGAAGACAAGTACTCTTCTGTCTTGGACCGAATTTACGGCAGACGGAAGGATCCGGAAAAAACGATCGAGCCCTCGATGGGCAGAACTTTACAGAAAAGTTCCACTACGGCTAACGTGTTGTTGTCGGAAAAAGCGTATCCCTATGTCAGCAGTAACAATCCGCCAAGAGAAAAAACTCCATTTAAAAGCGATCGAATATCACAAAAATGCAATGCGTATCCAGAACCACCTTATACTTATTTGGATAGAGATTCGGCGTACAGGATACGTCATAAGTCGAATCATTCTGAATTAAGACCTCGTAGATCATCCAAACCGCAACGGCAAGGCAAAAGTGAACTAAACGACCGAAAAGTGGTGACCAATTTGAAACTATGCCCTGTCGAAATTCCCTTAAACGACGAATTATACCCGCCAAGTTCAACATTAAATCATTCTAAATTGGAAGTGGGCACAGGGAGAGATTACGATAATGATTTGACACCCACGCCATCTGCTCCGGACACAGTGTCAGAAAGGGAGGCAAAAAGAAAAGAAATTCAAAGTTTGATAATGAAATATTCCGCATTGGACGAAGCTTATAACCGGGTGCATTCAGAAAATAGCTACACTGCAGCTGCGGCTGCCGCTCCAGAAGTTACATCATCCAGTGCTAAAGTGGTGAAAAGTGCAAGTACAAACGTGGTAGCACCTTCAGCCCCCCCGCAGCCAAGCGTGGCCGCTGCCATAACAAAGAAATACTACCCCAACTTAGTAGCGGCTGTAAGTAAGGCCGTGTGTAAATCACCCTTCCGGTCCCGTCACTAACACAAGAGTGCCGCTTTCAACTTAACTAGATCGTGCGCCGCAACCTTAACATTGTGTAAGTCTCGTATCGGTGTATATTTTCACTTTTCTAAACAAAAGCGTCAGCTAAAACCGTTTGGCATAATGAGCAACCGCTTTAGATAGATTTGCATACCCAAGACGCATTTTGAATCAAATTTGAATAAAAAATAACAGCACGCTAAAGTTGTTGCTTGTATTGATTTTTACCATTCTTAAAACATTTCATAAATACGTAATTACATTTAAATTTAGGATTAATAATGTACAGAAACAGCTTAAAGGTATATGTGTATTCAGGGGTTTATTGGTGGTAGTCGTTAAAAAAAATGTATTTATATGTACCCATTAACATCAACATATACCACAATCCCTTATCCCTCATATACCTTCATCTGTTAAATATGATCTGGTGCATAATTTTGTGCCATTAAAGAGAATGATTGTTGATTTGGCAATCCGTTTGCCCTTTCCTCTGTCTGCTTATTGGGTTACATCTCCACATTGTATTGGCGCCTGCCATTGATGTCATTGCTGTTTCTACCACTACAAACCAACCACAACCTCTCAACCTTGATCTGCTGCCGAATTGGACCTGATGCTTCTTCTTCTTCTCCTTTGGTTGTTGCTGCCTCGGACCTGACGAATGCCGGTGCTAGCAGAGCTCGCGTACGCCCTCGGTGGAAGACGACGAAGAAGGCCACCTCATTTACCGATCGGGAGATATTCTACAAGACCGATGTTCGTGAATACTACAATTTGTTACATTTAGCAATTTGGATAAGTCTATTCTCAAATATCCCACAAACATGTCCCATCCAGTACATTCGTAATTGCCTTTTTTTCAGCAGGGGAGACTTTCTATTCTCCCCTTTCCAAATTATCTTATTTATCTTAAAACTGCTACTTGAATGTTTAATTAATTTTAAAACTATATAGGTACCATTAATAATGCAAATGCAATACTAAACACGCAAGTAGTAGATTAATATTTAATAAAGTTAAAACAAAATAAAACCAATGATAGAATATTAAAATAATAGCAATGGTTTAGTTTATAGATATTTTTCATAGTCTTCAAATTTTAATGACAATTTTTGCATGCAACATTCGATCATTTGAATTTAGATTGGTACCAATAATAAGTACTCTATTAAATTTTATAATTTTTTAAACTTACTATAACTCTTTCAACATTACAAAGATAAGAAAGAGTTAAAAAAAATCAAATCTTTTTCTGAAAGCAATAAATAAAGTATTATGATTTATTGTTAAAGTTATCAAAACAACTTTTTTGATCAAAACTGTGTAAAAAGAATGAATTTTAGTTGATAATGCATTTAAAATGTACTTGTTATTAAGCACCAGTCTTGTTACGAATCAATTCTTACAAAGTTTTGATGTTGCATTGCAGATAAAATTCTTGGCACTCTTGGTGAAGGAACTTTTGGCAAAGTAGTCAAAGTGAAGGATTTGGAAATGTACGTAAATATTATTTTTAACTTTTTAATGTCAATTATATATCCTGTTTGGAATCAAAATCGATATTAACAGATTCTGTCGTCATTTAGGGATCATTCCATGGCACTTAAAATAATAAAAAACGTCGAGAAGTATCGCGAGGCTGCCAAATTAGAAATAAACGTCCTAGAAAAACTCGCGGACAAGGATCCTGAATCGATACAGTAAGTTAAATATTTTGTACTTTAATTAACACCTGGTCCAAACTAAATTACACTATGGCAAGATTTTTATATTATGTAAATATAAATATTTTGCGTATAAATAATAATCTTATTTAATTCAATCAGTTTTGGTATAATGTCCAAAAGGTATATAAATAAATTTTTTACATTGTTATTAGAGGTTATATGAAATAATTACTTACTATGCTTCACACTTGACATTTAAATGAGGAACACACATAATGGAGGTTATGTATCTGTCAGTTAAACGTTAATTTCGTCTTATTATGCTGAAAATAGTTGTGTTCGCTTGTAAACTTTTTAATTTAGGACATTAAATCATTACATGTTAACATAATATTTATTTATGTCATTAGGATCTTGGCATAAATATATTAATTGTACGTTTTATGTATCATATGCGTTGAAGATAAATTGTTGTATGCCATTCAGCCAAGAAGTGTCTTTTTGTGCTATCTTTGTTTTGTTTATCTTTAAGACATAATTTTGTTTATTAAATGATACATAAAACGTAGAATTATTAAAAGAAGAAAGTGTGAGGTTAGATTGATATGACAGAAGTAAAATTTTTTTTTTGGTCCAAAGTAGTAAATAATGAATCCTAGTCTGTAAAAGACCCGTTAGGACCAATTAAAAGATTTAATAACTTGTGACAGTTCCGAATCTATCTAACCTTACTTTATACTTCGATTTGAGGCGGAACGCACCAGAACGGCGTTCCGCTACCTCTCTTTGGGAAAAAAATACGAAAGCTAACTTAAACAATCAGAAAACTGTGCTTTTTTACTGCTTTAATTACTTTACTACAACACATTTTTGTACCTACTTACTTGTTTTGCAAAATAAAATTTGGAACTAAATAAAATAAAATTATAATTATGATTATTAAAAGTAGGTACGTTTTATGTATCGTTTAACGTATAAAACTGTGTCTTGAGATAAAATGTTGAATGCCATTCGTCTTAGACGTGTCTTTTTGAGCTCAGCGCAAAAAAGACTTACTTCCCAGCCTTTTGACATAAATAACTATTATTTATAATTTCCCTCATAAGGCTTTCGCATGTCAAAGCCTTATGGGTTGGAGCAAGGTACGTGCGAAAGCGTGCTCGTGTAAAGGCTAACAATCGCTCGTTTTTTAGACGTGTAAAAAACAAAAAAACAGCACTTCAATCTCCTGCGATTTTCGCGCAGTGAAACGTCTAATGTAAATTGAAAAGAGTCTAGTTTCCCGTGAGATACTCGTGGCCCATGGAATCTTGAATCTTTATACAGTTTTAAAGACGTTTTTGTTCCAAAACGGATAAGATAATTAAAAAACGAAGATTAAAAAAGTGCTTCTGCTTGGCTGTATATATTTATATTATAATACTGCACAAATCTACTAGCGAAAACAAAAATCAATCAAATTTTAAACTGCGCGAAAATCGCCGGGGATTGGAATGCGGAAAAACCGAGCGATTTTTAGCATTTACACTAGCAACCCTATTAAAAATGCCATATAGAAACACAAAATAAAAATCTATCTGGTTCAATATAGGAATTTGAAACAGGCATTGCACTATTGAACCAGATAGAATTCCATACCTGAAAAACCATATAGAAAAGTGATTTCTATATGGATTGCCATATAGGTTCATATCGCTCTAACTGGCCCAATATGGTTTGGGTGTGAAAAAATTATTACCATATAGATCCATATTCAACCATATAGGGGAATCTATATGGTTTAATATGCAATTTTCGTTTAAATATATATACATTTTAAAATGGAATTCCATATTCAACCATATAGGGAAACCTATATGGAAAGACACATAAAACAGAAACCAGATAAATCCATATAAAAATCCCTAAGTTGTACATTTTAAAATGAAATTCCATATTAAACCATATAGATTCCAAAGTGTAAACCAGGTCGTTCCATATAGGACATATAGAACCATATAAATCCATATTAGTTTCCTTATCTGGGTCAATATGGGTTCTATAGGGCATTTTTAATAGCTTAAGCTTTTGCGCCATTTTTACAAGTAGTTTTTGAGTTATAAGGTTTTGAATTAAATATTTTAAGAATACTTACGATTTTATTAGGCACGAGCGAAGCTTGCGAGCGAGTGTTTAATAAAAACTAGTGTCTAGAGAAGTTTATAAAACGAGTTACATACTATACTTTATCTACTACGAACAGAAATAAGAATTTAAAGCCAATTTTAATTCATAAATATTTCACATTTGACGAACTTTACCTTACTTTTACGCAATTTTTAATAAAGCCCGTGACTAAATTGCCCAAAAGTCACTGTTGTTAACTTCAGCCCGCGTCTAAAACGCCATAAAGTCACAGCTTGTCAATGTAGGAGTAGATAAAGAAATTTATAATCATGTTAAAAAGTTTATTCATTGTAACAAAGTTTTGATTTTTTTTAACTGTCAACCATGTCAGCCCGCGTCTAAAACGCCATAAAGTCACAGCTTGTCAATGTAGGAGTAGATAAAGAAATTTATAATCATGTTAAAAAGTTTATTCATTGTAACAAAGTTTTGATTTTTTTTAACTGTCAACCATGTGAAGCTCTCTTGTTTAGTGGGATATCAACCGTTTTTAAACACAATTGAAAATAGTCCACAGCTACACAATTTTTAAAACATTCTTAATCAAACTTTTTTTTTATTTTAGTTTATGTGTTAAAATGCTGGATTGGTTTGATTACCATGGACACATGTGCATTGCTTTTGAAATGTTGGGATTAAGTGTTTTTGATTTTTTGGTGAGTAATTCTTAAACTTTTTTAATTTAAAAAATACTTATGCTTATTAATATTTTTGCAGAAAGACAATAATTACCAGCCCTACCCTCTGGAGCAAGTCAGGCACATTGGCTACCAACTGTGTTATTCTGTGAAGTTTCTACATGACAACAAACTAACACACACTGATCTCAAGCCTGAAAATATTTTATTTGTAGATTCTGAGTTTGATTTAGTTTATAATAGTAAAAAGGTAAAAGTAATGCAAAGCAAGTTTGACAAGATTTTTTTAAACTAATATTGTTATTTTAGAGGAGAGATGTAAAAAGAGTAAAAAGAACTGATGTTAGGTTAATTGATTTTGGCAGTGCTACTTTTGACCATGAACACCACAGTACAATAGTGTCCACGCGTCACTATAGGGCACCAGAAGTAATTTTAGGTAAGTTTGACTATAATTTTGTTTGAGATTTTAATATTAATATCAATATTTTTTTTAGAATTAGGATGGTCGCAACCCTGTGATGTTTGGTCTATTGGCTGCATTTTATTTGAATTGTACCTTGGAATAACCCTTTTTCAAACTCATGATAATAGGGAACATTTAGCTATGATGCAAAGAATTCTTGGAGAAATCCCAGTTAGGTAAATATTTTTAAAATTTGATTATTTCTTTTATTTTAAGGGCTTCCTCTCGAGCTTCCTTTATTTTTAAGTATAGAAAAATAGACATTTTCAAGAATTTTTTTATGAACCATTGTATATTTTTATATTAAACATACTAAGTTCTTACACTATATTTTAAGTAACTTTCTTGAAAATACCCGGACAACAATCGGGATTTCCTGGTGAAGTCAAGATGATATCACAACGTGATTTTTTTTAACACGCTGTGATATCCTGAGTGCATACACATGCTTCATCACAGTGATATCATGTAGAACTCACGGTTTGATATTTGCAAAATTTGCGCATGCGTATGAGCCCTGCGAACTGCGAATTTAAAACCTAGTTTGTTATTCACATTACACCGTTATAATTTATAAAACGTTGTTTGAATATCACGAATGTTGTCCGGGTTCAATTGAAACAATATTCCAATATTTAACAAAACGTGAACGTTTTGTTAAACATTGGAATATCTTTTTTAATTGAACCCGGACAACATTCGTCACGAATGATTCGTGATATTCATACGAACATCATGTCGTGATTTTCACAAATTTTATTCATACTGATATCATACGGAGGTCACCTCGTGAAATCATGTCGTGATTTTTTATGCCAACGGTGTTTGGATAATCATTTTTGCGCCACTTTCGTACACTTAGAGAAAAATTATGTTGAATCAACAGTTTTAACATACTTTTTCTTTCAATGTACGAATGTGTCGCAAAAATGAATATCAAAACACCGATGGCAAAAATCACGACATGATTTTTTATGCCATCGGTGTTTGGATATTCATTTTTGCGACACATTCTGCCGTGTTAAGCTTAAAGGTCGTATCTGCAATATTTTGTAGTAAAGGACAGAAGAAAATTTTAATTTTAAAAAACGATAAAAAAATGGCTTTTTTGCTTAACTACTAAATATTGCAGATATGAAGTTTTGTCTTCGAACGGCAGTTTGTGGTTATTGTTTTTAAAAATTAAAATTTTCTTTTGTCCTTTACTACAAAATATTGCAGATACGACCTTTAAGCTTAACACGGCAGCATTCGTACATTTAAAGAAAAAGTATGTTAACAATTGAATCAACAGTTTAACATTCAATATTTTTTGGATTTAAATTAACTATATACAGGGCCGGCCCGAGGTACGGGCGAACCGGGCAACCGCCCAGAGCGGCATAATGGGGGGGGCATTTTTACGATTTGTTAATGATAATCAATTTTATTCAACATACTAAACATTTTTCGATTGGCGATTTTTTCAAGAATTACGCTCGAGAAATGCAGTTTAGATAATTTAATATCTTTGTTACAATTTGTAACTTACAAAGATTTAATAGAGGCGCTCTCGGAAGACGACCCTGGCGCCCTCTTTCGTTTCTTCAATCACATCCTGTAGTTTTCTATAATTTTGTTTTACAATTAACAATTAATAATTGACAAACATTATATCACGTGCATTTGCACTGATTTTAAAATCGTAATTATTAAGTTAATTTACTTTTTTTTTAAAGATGATTCACCTGAAGTAAGTAAGTTACTTAAAATGTTCGGGTGCACTCGGTCTGTATACTTTTACATTAAAAATACGATATATTAACAGGAATTACCTATGTATGTAATAATCTATAGCTATAGCTCGCGGAATATTGCGAAAGTAAATTTTAACAAACCAAAGAATTCTTGTAATATAAAAATATTGTATAATTATACTCACTATAATAGTGACACTATTTAATAATATATTTTTATTACATATATCCTATATATGGGATATAATCATTGACAAGTGATGCAATTATGTATATATACATATTTAACAGTATATTGCCTTACCTAGTAATTCTAAAGCATAAAAAACTCTTATAAAAAGTTTGAAAAAATAATTACCTTAAACTACTTTTTTTCCTATTCCTGCTGAATAAAAAGGGGGCGGCAAAAATCTCTTCGCCCGGGGCGGCAAAAAAAGTCGGGCCGGCCCTGACTATATATAGTTAATTAAAAATCCAAAAAAATATTAAATGTATTTGATCGCAAAAACTGTTGATTCAACATAATTTTTCTCTTAGTGTACGAACGAGGCGCAAAAATGATTATCCAAACACCGTTGGCATTAAAAAATCACGACATGATTTTTTGTGCTATCGGTCAATCGCAAACAGCGATGGCATAAAAAATCACGACATGATTTTTATTTCTCACGCAGTGACATCCAGATGATGTCCGTATAAATAAAATTTGTGAAAATCACGACGTGACGTTCGTATGATTTTCATTTATCACGAGGTGACTTCCGTATGATATCAGTATGAGAAAAATTTGTGAAAATCACGACATGATGTTCGTATGAATATCACGAATGTTGTCCGGGTATCAAGAAAAAAAATTAATTCTGGACGAAGTTATCAACTGCATTGTTGTCCTCCCTCTTATAAAAGGTTCATCAAAAAATCAATAATACAAATTTTAGTTTGGTCTTCAGCCTCATTAAAGGTTTTTCAAACCTCGCAAATTTTCGTTATGAATTTTAAGAAAAAATCGCTTGTTAATTTTTTATGAGAAAAGAGGTTTTGGTTAAGGAATTATATAAAGGGGTAAGAAGCAAACGGGTACAAGTGCATTTTAGCATGAAAATAAGTTAAATGTAGAATTTTGTAGTTTAGAGTCCATTTTTTATTTAATTTTCTCATAACGTGAAAATAGCAAAAACTTTAGTTAAGAACTCCAATTCTCTTTTTTGCACATTTTTTTGACACTTTTGGTCCCTTTTCTCGAATCGCGTCACAGATACCAAAAATCCAATGTTTATATTAAAAGTATAAAATAGTATATATTGCAATGCGTTTGCAGTAAATGTGCGTGAACAAAAAATTCAGTTTTCCTACCGAAAAAAAAAATTAAACTATTATCTGAATTTTATAGCCATAGCTTTATAAAACAATTTTGAATATCTTTCAAATCTTTAAAACTGAAAAAACATTGCTTGTATTTCAACAAGGAAGATTTTAAGAAAATAAATTATTTCATTAAAATGATTTTTTACTAGAATACTAGATAAACACAATATTTTGTGAGGATACTATAACTTGAAAACAAAATTTATTTAATAAAAATTGCATAAAGGCCTTTTTTTAAATTATATTTACTTCTAGGGGTGTTTCTTGAAATTTACCAGGTTGCTCTACAGTGGTTGTAATCCACCGCTTAGTAAACTAAAGATGCATGCAATATAAAACGTACAAATATGTGAGATAAACAACCATCGTTAAACCGATTGGTTATAACAAACTTGATTCCCCTCCGTCATGAGCGTGCAGTAGAAATTTTTAAAACAATTTATAAACAATAGATAGGTAGCTTTAGATTTAAATCAAAACGGTCAATTGTCCGCCAATGATATACTTCCCCTCCTCCAACTATCTGTGTCATCCCACCACTCGATAACATTGTAGATTTGCTCTGATTTGATTTTAATTTCACTACAACTACGTAAAGGTGTAGTCGGTTGTTAAAATTATTTTAAAATGTTATTAATTGTTCAAAATAAAGATATTCTTGTAATAATAAAAATATTCTCAAACAAAAATGGTATTCTAAAAAACTTCTTCTTCCTAAGTGGCCAAAAGCCTTAATGGTCTCTGTTTCAATGTACCATTTTGACCAGCAACAAGTTTTAACGTCCATGCGCTTCACGAAGCCGTCCACCCATAGACACGTGGATTTTCCAAATCTTGGATCATCCACTCAATGTATTGTACAAATCACAAAATACCTCGCTAAAAGGTCAAACCTTGCGATATTGTCAAACAGGTATATTTCTATACCGGGACTCCCATTTTGGCCCTCCCAGATCTAGAAGTCACTTATATTTCACTACTCTTTCATAGAGCCAGTGTTGCCAACCTAAAAATAAAAATTATGGTACACATTTAGAAAAATTATGGTACATTATGGTAGGCACCAAATAAATATTATGGCACAAATTATGGTATATTTTAGGACTTTAAAATTCAAACAACTTAGCAACTTTACTGCCATGCTTAATGAAAACGCCGTAACCAACAATTTTGCGATTTTTGGTTTACGGCATTTTCTACTAGAACAATTCATCCTGCGTCTATCCCCGGTACTCAAAAAACCGTATCTATATATATACGGTTTTTTGAGTACCGGGGATAGACGCAGGATGAATTGTTCTAGTAGAAAATGCCGTAAACCAAAAATCGCAAAATTGTTGGTTACGGCGTTTTTATTAAGCACGGCAGTTTAGGAAAAGTCATATTTATTTTAACACAAACTTTCATACAAAAAAATAAACTTTGGTAAAAAAATAATAAATTATTTTAAATTTAATAAATTAACACTTAATTAAAAATAATATCGCATTCATCACAGTCTTGATTATTGAATAAATTATCTTTAGTTATATATTTGCACATTTTTTCTGAGGGGTCAAAATTTATACAATTTTTTTAAAATTTTTATACCGCTCGAAAAAATCTTTTCCTAAAAACCACAGAAGTGAAAACAAAAGTTTGAATAGAAAATAACATAACAGTTATAACTGCTGCTAACCTAGAACATTAATTTTTATTAACAGCTGTTTATGAAAATGTAATATTGTACTGGCAGGACTGATCGCAATGTTGACTAATTAATTAAAACGTGAAAAATTAAATATTTAAATATTGGTTTGTAATTTGTATTTATTGCACAATCATTAAATTTCTAACAGCTGTACAAATTTGATGTGATTTTAAACAGATAATTTGAATTAGAAATTCAGATGCTCTCAGACAATATAATTTTCCATCAAATAAGAGTGAAAATTAAATTAAACTTAAAGAAGTATCAAGAATAAAAGCAACATTGGATTGTGAACATCTGGGAATTAAAGTTTTACCAACCCATTTTTATGGAAATTATTCAACGATTAATAATTAAAACAAAAAATAAATCATTAATTTTAAGCCCACAGAATTATTACACTAAATTTACTGATTCAAATGAAAAACAGGTAATAATTTAAAAAAAAGCTTAATATTTCAGGAAGACAAGGCAAAAAAAGTTCAGATTGAATATCAGTTTAAAAACATCTTAATTTATATTGAATGTTCAGTAAAATAACGACGTGGAGCAAGGTTCTTTTGTCAGCTGGGTGCTTTGCGCAAGCTTATGTTTTGCGACCTGCGAAAATTGTAGACCCTGCTTAATAGGGCGTAATATCAAATAATACAACGTAATATTTATTAACCAAGTGGTGTTATGTAATTGGAAGTAATACATGGTAATTTTATGTAATTCATAATAAGTATTACGCCGTTTTGCGTAATAGATGTTCTAATTTAGCGTGCAGGTTGTTTGCCCACTTGATGAAATATTTGTTTGGTTTATGGACACAATTTTTAAAAATATTTATTTATTTGTTTTCAGAATGGCCCGGAAGACAAAAACAAAATATTTCTATAGAGGAAAATTAGAGTGGGATGAGAAGAGTTCTGCTGGTAGATATGTTAGAGACAATTGTAAACCTTTAATGGTTAGTAATGTATAATTGATAATAACATTAAATAAAATCTAATTAGTCTTATTTGCAGAGATACAAGCAACATGATGATACTGAGCACAACTACTTATTTGACCTAATATTCAAGATGTTAGAATATGAACCATCAGAAAGGATATCTTTAAAAGAAGCCATGCTGCATCCTTTCTTTGAGAAAATTCCGTCTCACCAGCGTCTTGGTGAAAATGGAGCCGGTGATCTGCATAGGGATAAATCGTTGACACGATGAGGACTGGTTCCTGTGCAATGAACTAAAAGTGTAAATTATTTTCTTTCCTACGACCGACATTTTTATTATTTTTATTGTTTTATGAATAAAGGACAATAACGTTTTATTTTTTACAGAAACAATTGGAAAAATGACTTGTTAAATGATTTTTTAGGACGATGATACAAAAAAACTGATTGTGTTTAAATTATGAATACATTTTAAAAATATATTCTTTCATAGGACAATGTAATGTGTAGTTTGCAGGTTTTTTATTTATAATTGACAACAGTCCATAGTTATACCTATGATTGAAGAATATTTCATTGTATAATTTAATTACCTTACTTGTTAATGTAAATATAATTTTGGAATAAAATCTAGTTTTTAATTAAATTATTTTCTTATCCTTGTTCCCAAATAAATAACTTTTAAAACACACTGTTAGTTTAGGTTTAAAATGTAAGAAAATATTGTGTAATAAACAGTAATTTTAAATTTGAAAAGTTACTTTGAAATTAAATTCATTGTATTTAAAAAAGCTAGCACATACAGAACTGTGCGGTAATTAAGACTTGTAGATACTTGTACCTATTTCACTTTAATATTTTAAAATGTACATGTACTTTATTTGTGTACATTTATTTTGCTTGATTACATCGCTTAGTGATTTGGCAATATTTGTATTATTGTCATATCCAGCTAAGCTATTGCAATACAATATAATATAATCATAAAAATACCACGTGAACAAAAAATCCTAAAAAGAAACTTATAATTCAGAAATAAATTTATATAATTTAATTTTTCCACCGATTCACTCTTCACTGAACGATAAGTACATTGTTCCTTGAGAGCAGGAGTAAACTAAGTCACAAAATGCAAAGTTTACAGTAGAGGCTTTTTTTGTTTTTAAGAAATTACGCGTTTATTTTTACTTGATAAAATTTATATAGCTTGGATTTTTACAAAAAATCTTTAATTTATATATACTTGGGCAAAATACGGGAAAATGTACACAGTAGTTTTTGTCCCAAGGGGTGACATACATAAACTACAAGTACTTCCAAGTACAATAATTTTTTTAACCTTTAAAAATGTAGTTTAATTAAAATTTAGCTAAGAAAAATATGTTTAAAAAACTATTTTTATAGTTTTACTTATTATAAACCATGAATTTCGTATTTCATATGAGAATGAAATAGTTTGGATTTTCATCCAATACTGCCCAAAGAAGCTAAAATTTGATTATCTTTATTAGACTGCTTTTTGAAAAAATCAAAATTTTCCTAAGCCCAAATTACTGTTTTAAAGTACTCTTTAACAATTCTATAAGAACCTGTTTGAAGGTATATTAAACTTTCAAATTTTGTTTTTAAAGGAAAAAACCTAATTATAAACCATGTTCAAAAATTAGGTCTTCAACATCCCATTTGGTGTCTATAAAACCTATTAACATTCACACTTATTCAAAATAGGGTTATAATAAAAATGATGAAAAATTTTATATGTTTAATATTAGGTTGTTACAAATAAAACTAATCAAATAATTTATTGTGGAGCACCATCACCAGCTGGCATAGATCTGATGATATCAGAATCACCTGGATCTGTGATGGACATAGCGCATACCCTGAAGTATTTACCGCAAGCTGTGCCCAATTCTACATTGTTTCCAGAGTAGTGGTGGACTCCAGTTTTGGCCAACATAGCATAGTATTCAATTTCGGATTTCCTTAGGGGTGGGGTGTTGTTGGAGATGATGATAAGTTTTGCCTTTCCTTGACGCAATGTCTAAAAGAAAAAGAAAATCTAGCTTTAGTTTGTAAATCCCTAATACAAGTATCGCCTTAACAAAATCAAAAACCAGCTTTAAACTAAACTAATGTTTATATAAATCAGTGGTTTATACTATAATTTTTATAGTTATTTTTATATGTTAATACACAGCATATACACATAATCATAGAGATAGTGTGATTTGAAACCACAAAAGAATAAGCGAGACAGATAGATATCATGTGATCTAACTTTAAAAATGCCAAAAATGTATTGCCATTACCAGTACCTTTTTATTTCACTACATGAAGGACCTTTAAAAGTAACTATACTAGTTTTAGCTCTCACAATAGATTTGATTAATACTATAAAAACTTTTAACTTCTTTGATGACATATTATAGTGACTAGGGTTGCCAGGCCCTAAAACAAAAGCTGAACATGTTGCTATATTAGACGCTGGACATTTTGCCCTAAAAGCCGAACATATCTTTTTTAATAGACAAACATACGTTTTCCTATAGCTGGACGTTTTTAAAGCAATTAACAACATTTATAATAAACTGGGTTACGTCAGACTCAGACGCCAGACACAATTGCAAAAAAACATTAACAGTGACAATACTTATTTCTTAACACTCAGTTTGATAGGAAACACTGGTAGTTGCAAAAATGAAGCTTTAAAATCAAGCTGGTTCTTGTTTATTAAATGTTGGTGCATCAACTTGAATATCTTAAATTGACCGTGTGCCCAAGTATATACCACAATGATAAATCTTCATATAATAAAAATTACAATTTTAGACAAAACATTCTTACCTTTAAGGTTTGTTTGTATCCCAAGCAAAATTTGCCTGATTTCATAACCAAAGCCAAACGGCTGTTTATGCTTTCAATGGTCTTTTTCTGTTTCTTTTGGGCTACCATGTTGCCTGCAACAAAGTTTGGTTAAGATAACAATTCCTTCGTGTTTACTATATTTTAAGGCCTAATGATAATTAAATGGCAAACCGAAGCATTGTTAATCGTTTTGCAATGTAGTATTATATCAAAAAACGTTTAGTTTGTATTGTATTTACCTAATTTATAATCCACGTGTAATCCGACGGGAATGGAACTTAAAAGAGGTTTGCTTGTCAATCGCGATTGACAATTTCCGCCTAAAACAGTGCTGCCAATCACAATTAGCGCGGGTGTTTTAAATTAATAAAGAATTTGTAATATTACAAACTTATTATACTTTAGTTTGAGTAAAATATGTATTATGACCTTTATTTAAATATCATATAATTAGGACCAGAGCAAACCAAGCAACCTTTTAAAATGGTTTGAAACCATTGGTTTCCGGTAATTTCATTGCTGCCAACAAAAGTATATTTAAGGCGGAATATTTAAATATACATACCTAAAAATGTTGGCAAAGAAGTTCTTTGAAAGAACACCTTTTTATGATGCCAACATAATATATATGAGGCAGCTTATGTTCTGTGTGAGGCAGGATATTCTAATATACATACAGAGCTGTTCCGAGTACAATGAAAAAGTACTCGAGTACTGAATGCAAGTACTCTTATAAAGGGTGTCCCATTAAGACCGCCTATTTTAAATTTAGTGTCATTTTTTTTGTGTCAATCGTACAACTTTGTTGTTAGACAGTGGTCATGTATGAACATTGAGGTTAAGTCATGGAGATTTACACAGACGCACAACGCATAGAAATTGTAAAAATCCACTATCGAAATGGTGAGAATATTTCGGAAACGGTTTGAAGATATCGTGGATTTTTTGGTCACCATAACGCACCTTCTCGCCGTACTGTGGTCTGATTATAATCGAGCAATTTGAAACGATTGGGTCAATTCAAACCAAAAAGAGACATATCCATGTTCGTGCAGCTCGGTCTGCTGAAAATATTGCAGCAGTTAGTGAAAATGTTGAACATAATTCTTCCACCTCGATTCGCCACCGTTCCCATCAATTGAGACTCTCTCGAAGCAGTTTACAGCGAATTTTGGCCAAAGACCTGCATTTTCATGCGTACAAGATTCGGTTGACACAATATTTAAAGACAGCAGACCATGCACAGCAACGAAACCATGGAATTATTGAGGACAAAATTTGAAGGCAGAGTTATCTCGCGCCGCGAGGATGTGATGTGGTCAGGCCGATCATGCGATTTGACGCCGTTAGATTTCTTTCTTTGGGGTTTTTTGAAGGAAAAGGTTTATGCTAATAACCCAAGAACAGTTCCTAAACTAAAACATGAGATTCGATGGGTCATTGATGAAATTAAGCCGGCACTATGCCAAAATGTAATCGAAAATTTTGTCAAAAGAATCAACATGTGCCGTCAGTCACGAGGCGGCCATTTATCGGATATTTTGTTCCATATTTAACCTCCGTGTCTTCCCTCTTTATTGCAATAAAAATATCTTAACTTTTTAAATAAACACGGCATTTTTTTTAAATTTTAAAATAGGCGGTCTTAATGGGACACCCTTTATAAAAGTACTCGAGTACCAAGTACAGTACCGTTGTACTCGAGTACCCATACGAGTACAAAGTACCGAGTACATTACGAGTTATGAAATGTTGGGAAAAATGCTAGAGAAATGGGGCGATTAAGAAATCATTAAGAATTGCCTTCATCAAATATTGATATTTCGCTTTATGTTAATTATCAAGGCCGTATGTATCTTGTTTTACTTTGCCTTAGCTTTATTTTTTAATTATCTTTTTGAGAAATATTGTCACTTTATTTCTACCAAAATATAAACAAAATTACATTTCATACATAAGTAAAAACCTTTTGTTCAATGCTCTTTCCTGTGTCTTTTTATTTATTGATTGAGGCTGTCTTAAGGCTTTCGTGTGAAGCAGGCTGGCTGAGGCTGCCTCAGGCAGCATGTCCGTAATTTTACGAGTCTGAGCAGTGTTGCCAAATTTTCAACACCCACGCACATATTTGTCCACGCCAACCTCACCGCATTAAAATGTACTCATTACATACTTTGGATGTACTCGAGTACATGTAAAAGTACTCGAGTACACGGGAAATTACTCGAGTACACGGGAAAGTAATCGAGTACATTTTTGCAATCTTAAATGTACACTGAGAAAAAAATGGGACAAATAAACTGTTTACCTAATACTTTTATTTGTAGTGAATATATTGTTTATTACCTCTAAATAGTCGAAATAATAACGATAAATATACTTTAGTAAAACTTTATATGTCGGGAATAAAAATATATTTAGGATAAATAAACTGTACCCTTGTCCCATATTTAAATATTTTTTTTATTTGGGAGCAATAAACTTTTTTCTCCGTGTATCAAGTACAAGTATAAGTACATTCAAATTAAAGTACTCGGGACTGAGTACCGAGCACACTGAAAGTACTTGGAGTACAGTGTTTGAGTACTTGTACTCGAGTACCGCACAGCTCTGTATACATACCAAAAAATTTAGCAAAGAACACATATTTTTTTAAATGATATATAGTATACTAGTTTTTTGTTTCCTTTAGGCTTAACTTTATTATATCCCTCTGTACAACGGCTTTGTTCGGTTTAATGATGAGATATTTATATATACAAAAAAAAAGTTTATATACAAAAGTGCTCTTTTAGTTCCACCCTTACTTCTTAAGAAGTCCCATAAGCCAACTGAATGGCTTGTGCGGGTTAGGGGTAGGAACGGACCGCGGGCTTAAAGTCCCCTCCGAAGGACGAATACACAATAGGACAAACACAAATAAACAGTCATACCCCTGGTGGGATTCGAACCCACGACCTCCGGCATGTAGTCAGCTGCACTAACCACTCGACCACCGTCGGCGATATATATATATATATAAATAAACACAAATGAGTTTTAAATTGTATATTTTTACAAACATTTCTAAAATAAAAACATATCTTTATCATGTTTGCCGCTGCCTTTTTTCTCCACTTGGTGTCGTAAAAATTTAAGTCCTGCTTCAATAGAATCTTCAACATTGTTGGATTTTGTGGGTTTGTATTTTTTACTTGAACTTGGTCCATAATAATCAAAAGTAGGAGGTGGGGCGAATTCTGCACCTTTTCCTCTAATTTCATTGTCACTATCAGAATCTGATGAGCTATATTTAGAACTATCTTTATTACTTCCATTGGAGCTATATTTGTCATTTATTTTATGATAATCTGCTAAAAGTCTGTCTTTACCATCCTCACATTCATCTTTGATTGGTGTAGGATCCATGGGTTTACTTTGTTCTACTTCTTCATAGTTTCTGGTATAATTATCTTTTCTAGAAGAGAATTTCAGAGATTTTTTTTCTTCTCTAAATGAATCCTCCTCAACATTGCTTCTGAAATTTTTTCTGTAAGATGATGGAGGTGCAAATTCTTTGGGTCTTTCACTTCTCTTTTTATCCACCCATTCTCCTTGACTGTAAACATAATGTTCCTTTAAAGCTTCTTTACCAATGTCCCATGGTCGAATATGGTTTTTTCTTGCTTCTTCCAATAATTCATCTTTTTCGTTTTTTTCAGGTAATTTTTCAGGTTTTTCTTCAGATTTGTTTTCCTCAACTGAAGTCTCAGATTCTTAAAAAAATATTCAATAGTTTTCAAATAGAAAATAAACTGACAATTTTGATAAAATTCATTACTTTAATAACCCAGATAGCCAAATAAGGCAAGAATGAAGTAACAATTAATTCAGATATGCAATTGCTTTACAAATCCAAAATAGGTATTTAATAATATACAGGGTGTCCGGGAAAAGGAGGTCAATCCGTTAACCATATATTCCTTGAGTTAAAACAATAAGACTTTCGTAATACCATTTTTCAATTTAGAGCTTCATGTTCGATATACAGGGCGAAAAAGTTTGAAATTTAAAACTGATTTTTTTTAATAATTCGAGTAATTGATAAGATATTAAGTTTAAATTCGGTACACTACTTCAACATAAATAGTTACATTTTTTGAGACCAACAAAATAAAAAACAATTGTCAAATAATCAAAATAGGGGGGTCCAGTACTCACTGACTCCCCCTATTTTTTAGTACGTGCGCCAATGACTTCCAAACGGTATTTTTTCAGGTAATCATTTATTGTTGAAAATTTTGTGTCTCTTATAAAATTTTGATAAAATGATTTGTTTTAGAGATAATTTGTAAAGTATGGGTCAGTCCATATCAAATTTTCGAAATTTAATTTTTTTTTTTGAAAAAATTTAGGTCATGTGATATATCATAAAAAATGTCTCTAATAGGCCTTTAAAATAAGCCATCACTCACCTTTCTACTTTTAATAGTTTACGAGATATAGCTATTCTTGCAAGACCCAAATTTATCGGAATTTGTTGATTTTCAAAAATCAATAAAACAATAACCACCTATCGAAAAAAATTCATATATGGGATTTTTGAGTTTTTTAGTGAGGTAAACAAATTTACCAAAAATTATCAAAATCGTGGGGGAAGAACCTTTGGTTGATTTGATATGAACTGACCCATACTTTACAAATTATCTCTAAAACAAATCATTTTATCAAAATTTTATAAGAGACAAATTTTTTTTAACAATAAATGATTACCTGAAAAAATACCGTTTGGAAGTCATTGGCGCACGTACTAAAAAATAGGGAGAGTCAGTGAGTACTGGACCCCCCTATTTTGATTATTTGACAATTGTTTTTTGTTTTGTTGGTCTCAAAAAATGTAACTATTTATGTTGAAGTAGTGTACCGAATTTGAACTTAATATCTTATCAATTACTCGAATTATTAAAAAAAATCAGTTTTAAATTTCAAACTTTGTCGCCCTGTATATCGAACATGAAGATCTAAATTGAAAAATGGTATTATGAAAGTCTTATTGTTTTAACTCAAGGAATATATGGTTAACGGATTGACCTCCTTTTCCCGGACACCCTGTATATTAGTATACATATGGGTAATTCTTTTACAAACCGTACGGATTTTGATAAAAATTGACCAACACATCTCCGATTTGGCTGAAACTTTTTTTACGGATTCTATATCGAAAAATAAGAGACACGTGTCCGAGGATTTTTTTTCTTTCGCATATTTTTGATAATACAAGTGATCAAAAATTTGAGAAAAACAAGGTTTTTGGCTTGAAGACCCATTTTCAAAAATTTATAACTCCGGTTCTATTTGAGCTACAAACATCTTTTTTTTTTCATTTTAAAGCTTAAGGACTGTATTTTGATAACAAAATGTTTTTAATAAAAATTATTAACAAATTCATATTGTTATTAACAATTTCATTTTTTAAATCAATTTTTAACAATGGCCCCCACCTCGTATTAAGTTTTTAGTATTTTTATCGTATTCTCCGTCAAATTTTACATAAAAAACATGTTTTCAAAATATGGTACCTTTATTATTACTATTGTTAAAACATTAATTCATATTGCGCGACACATAAAAAAACGGTTTTTTGTTAATAAAAAGAAAACTATAGCTCGGATCAAAAAAAGTTAAATATAAAAGTTATAGATAATAAATAGATCTACAATTTTTGTTTTAACTATTTTTCGACATAACCTCACTTTTCAAATAAATTGAAAAAAATGTTAAAAATCACCTCTTTTAAATTTATTAGCAATCAATACCATGAAAAAAAAACATAAATTAATTATAAATTATAGAAAAATATTTTAAAAGAGGTGATTTTTAACATTTTTTTCAATTTATTTGAAAAGTGAGGTTATGTCGAAAAATAGTTAAAATAAATATTGTAGATCTTTTTAATATTTATAACTTTTATATTTAACTTTTTTTGATCCAAGCTATAGTTTTCTTTTTATTAACAAAAAACCGTTTTTTTATGTGTCGCGCAATATGAATAAATGGTTTAACAATAGTATTAATAAAGGTACCATATTTTGAAAACTTGTTTTTTATGTAAAATTTGACGGAGAATATGAAAAAAATACAAAAAACTTAATACGAGGTGGGGGCCATTGTTAAAAATTGATTTAAACAATGAAATTGTTAATAACAATATGAATTTGTTAATAATATTTATTAAACATATTTTTTTATCAAAATTCAGTCCTTTAGCTTTAAAATGAAAAAAAAAGAAGTTTGTATCTCAAATAGAACCAGAGTTATAAATTCTTGAAAATGAGTCTCCAAGCCAAAAAACGCGTTATTCTCAAATTTTCGATAGCTTGTATTATCGAAAATATGCGAGAGAAAAAAAATTCCTCGGACACGTATCTCTTATTTTTCGACATAGAATTCGTAAAAAAAGTTTCAGCCAAATCTGAGATGTGTCGGTCAAAAGGTGTTCGGTTTGTAAAAGAATTACCCATATACAGGGATGGTAATGTGCTCTTAGGCCGTTTATTAAATAAAGACAAATGCATTATGAGACGTGGGAGTGGTGGAGTGACGTAAGAGTAGTGGGGCAAGCCAGACCGCGCCGCGCGGCTACGATCATCGCCCGAGACGGGCAGCCCGACCGCAGAGTCTGCTCGGCGCAGACAAGAGAATGTGTTGTAACTTACAACTTGTAAGTAAGAGGTAGTACGTTTGTTATAAATTAGGAAATATTCTCTAATAAAAATGGTTTACACCCTTGAAGAAAAGATTCAATTTATAACGTGGCATTTAAATGGGATCTCAGATCGAGAAATTCAAAGATTATTTCCAAATATGTTCCCAAATAGACCCTTACCAGCAAGGGCAACAATTCAAATGTTGTAAATAATTTGAACATTTACTTTGATTTATTTATTTAAATATTTTAGAACACCATTTTTGTTTGAACATTTACTTTATTAATTTTTTTATTTAAATATTTTAGAATAGCATTTTTATTTAAACATTTACTTTAATTTATTTATTTAAACATTTTAGAATACCATTTTTGTTTAAGAATATTTGTTTTTTTTTATTACAAGAATACTATGGTTTATTTTCCACATTTTCGAAAAAAATTCAATAAGTATTCGTTTTTGTAAACAAAATCATAGTTAAATTTTAAAGGAAATTTAAAATTCCTCCATCCGCACTCTAACGTGGACTGAATAATACTGAAATCATTTGCGTCAAGGTTATCTAGTAGTGGGAATGTAAAGCAGTTAGAGGAGGGGAAGTAGAACATTGGCGGACGTTTAATTGTTTTGATTTAATCGTTTTAAAATCTTGTACTGCACGCTTATGGCAGAGGGGAAATAAGAATTTTGTTATCCTATTCGTTCAACAATGGTTGTTTGTCTCTCTTATTTATACGTTTATCTCACTTATTCGTACGTTTTATATAGCATGCATCTTTGTTTATTAAACGGCCTAAAAGCCCATTACCATCCCTGTATATATATATATATATATATATTTAAATTTAAAATACTAATAATAATTATGCATAAAATTTATATATTTAATATATATTACATGTAGGTATATTAGCATAACACAAACATTTTGTTATGATTGTGATATGTAAACTAACCCGGACAACACTCGTGATATTCGTACGAACATCATGTCGTGATTTTCACAAATTTTATTCATACTGATATCATACGGACGTCACCGCGTGATAAATGAAAATCATACGAACGTCACGTCGTGATTTTCACAAATTTTATTCATACGGACATCATCCGGATGTCACTGCGTGAGAAACGAAAAATCATGTCGTGATTTTTTATGCCATCGCTGTTTGGGATTGACCGATAGCACAAAAAATCATGTCGTTATTTTTTATGCCAACACTAAGAGAAAAATTATGTTGAATCAACAGTTTTTGCGGTTAAATACATTCAATATTTTCTTGGATTTAAATTAACTATATATACCTAGTTAATTTAAATCCAAGAAAATATTGAATGTTAAACTGTTGATTCAATTGTTAACATACTTTTTCTTTCAATGAACGAATGTGTCGCAAAAATGAAGATCCAAAAACCAATGGCATAAAAAATCATGTCGTGATTTTTTATGCCATCGGTGTTTTTGCGCCACATTCGTACATTGAGAGAAAAAGTATACCTACATATATATTGAATCAACTGTTTTTGTGGTTAAATACATTCAATATTTTTTTTGATAAAAATTATTAGTTAATTTACTTCCAAGAAAATATTAAATGCATATGCATTTAATATTTGACCGCAAAAACTGGTAATTCAATTGTTAACATACTTTTTCTTTCAATGTACGAATGTAGCGCAAAAATAAATATCCAAACATGTCGGTGCACCGATGGCATAAACAATCATGTCGTGATTTTTTATGCCCAGACACCGATAGCATAAAAAATCATTTTTTAGGCCATTGGTTAATCGCAAACAGTGATGGCATAAAAAATCACGACATGATTTTCATTTTTCACGCAGTGACATCCGGATGATGTCTGTATGAATAAAATTTGTGAAAATCACGACGTGACGTTCGTATGATTTTCATTTATCACGCTGTGACTTCCGTATAATATTAGTATGAATGTGAAAATCACGACATGATGTTCATATGAATATCAAGAATGTTGTCCGGGTTCAATTAAAAAAGATATTCCAATGTCCCGGACAACAATCGGGATTTCCTGGTGTCATGATGATATCACAACGTGATTTTTTTTATCACGCTGTGATATCCTGAGTGCATACACATGCTTCATCACAGTGATATCATGTAGAACTCACGGTGTGATATTTGCAAAATTTGCGCATGCGTATGAGCCCTGCGAACTGCGAATTTAAAACCTGTTTTTTATTCACATTACACCGTTATAATTTATAAAACGTTGTTTGAATATCACGAATGTTGTCCGGGTTCAATTAAAAAAGATATTCCAATGTTTAACAAAACGTGAACGTGAACGTTTTGTTAAACATTGGAATATCTTTTTTAATTGAACCCGGACAACATTCTTGATATTCATACGAACATAATGTCGTGATTTTCACAAATTTTATTCATACTGATATTATACGGAAGTCACTGCGTGATAAATGAAAGTCATACGAACGTCACGTCGTGATTTTCACAAATTTTATTCATACGGACATCATCCGGATGTCACTGCGTGAGAAATAAAAATCATGTCGTGATTTTTTATGCCATCACTGTTTGAGATTGACCGATGACCTAAAAAATCACGACATGATTTTTTATGCTATCGGTGTTTGGGCATAAAAAATCACGACATGATTGTTTATGCCATCGGTGCACCGAAATGTTTAGATATTTAGTTTTGCACCACATTCGTACATTGAAAGAAAAAGTATGACGAATTGAATTGCCAGTTTTTGCGGTCAAATACATTTAATATTTTCTTGGATGTAAATTAACTAATAATTTTAATCCAAAAATATATTGAATGTATTTAACCACAAAAACTGATGATGTAGGTATACTTTTTCTCTCAATGTACGAATGTGGCGCAAAAATAAATATCCAAACACCGATGGCATAAAAAATCACGACATGATTTTTTATGCCATCGGTGTTTGGATATTCATTTTTGCGACACATTCATACATTGAAAGAAAAAGTATGTTAACAATTGAATTAACAGTTTAACATTCAATATTTTCTTGGATTTAAATTACTATATATAGTTAATTTAAATCCAAGAAAATATTGAATGTATTTAACCGCAAAAACTGTTGATTCATCATAATTTTTCTCTTAGTGTACGAACGTAGCGCAAAAATGATTATCCAAACACCGTTGGCATAAACAATCACGACATGATTTTTTGTGCCATCGGTCAATCGCAAACAGCGATGGCATAAAAAATCACGACATGATTTTCATTTCTCACGCAGTGACATCCGGATGATGTCCGTATGAATAAAATTTGTGAAAATCACGACGTGACGTTCGTATGATTTTCATTTATCACGCGGTGACTTCCGTATGATATCAGTATGAATAAAATTTGTGAAAATCACGACATGATGTTCGTATGAATATCACGAATGTTGTCCGGTTTCAATTAAAAAAGATATTCCAATGTTTAACAAAACGTTCACGTTTTGTTAAACATTGGAATATCTTTTTTAATTGAACCCGGACAACATTCGTGATATTCAAACAACGTTTTATAAATTATAACGGTGTAATGTAAATAACAAACTGGGTTTTAAATTCGCAGTTCGCAGGGCTCATACGCATGCGCAAATTTTGAAAATATCACACCTTGAGTTCTACATGATATCACTGTGATGAAGCATGTGTATGCACTCAGGATATCACAGCGTGATAAAAAAATCACGTTGTGATATCATCATGACTTCACCAGGAAATCCCGATTGTTGTCCGGGAAGTTTTTATCAACCATTAAAAATTAATGAATACTGTTGAAATAACCAAACTTTAAAGTAACATGTATGTTTTTTTAAACGTTGATTATATGCATAACAAACTTTAAGCATATTTGCAATAATTTGCTAGGTAGGTATATACACAGAACAACAGAAATTTTGGGAAAATATTAATTTAGACAATTTAGATTGTCATGTGCACTTACGCCTTTTATCAAATCCCTACAGATGACCAAATATTGAGATATAGCAAGAGTTTTATGCTGATTGGCTAAAATTGAATTTTATACTTCTGTCTGGGAAGTTAACTGCCTAGTTTAAACCTAATTTATATTTTTTTGTTTATTTTTTTATGTTGATAAATTCATTTATTTTAAACACATTTAACAAGCATTACAATGATATAATAAACTAAAAGTGTACCTTCTTCTGGGGCAAGCCCCATTCTTGCTCTTTTCCTATTTTTGGCAGCCTTGATCCTAGCAGCTAATTGTTTTTTCCTTTGTGCTTTTAAATCTTGCATTTTCTTTTGTTGTTCCTCTGTCTCTTTTCTTAACTTTTTTAATGCCTCTTGTTGGGTAGCTCTTTCAACTTCATCCTTTGAAAACCCATAGTACCCAACACCATGTGTTCTGGCCTCTAAAAAACATATGTAATATTTTGTATGTGTTAAATATTTTGTGTACTTACCACTAAACAGAATATCTTGATAATGAATATTTGTCTTATTGTTCAATTCTTCCTCTTCCTTTTCCCATTGTTTTCTTAAAAAATCTCTTCTCATATCAGCAGATAAGAGTTCCTTTTTTTCATCACTGATAGATGCAATATCTTCTTCTTCAGTAGCTTCAAGAAAAGGTTCCTTAGTTTCTTTAACAGTGTTCCAAACTGGTGAAACCTCTTTTCTTTTTCTTTGAATTTCCTTTAAATTTTCATCATCTTTCTTAATGTGTTTTAAATCTTTTCTTAAACAAGTTCTCGTTCTTCCTAAACAATCTACATACTCTACCCTAAAATAATCAATTATTAATTTAAATCAAATTAATATTCCAATAATTTACCATTCTTCAGATGCATCTTTGGGGTCATCATAGCTTTCATTAAAACTTTCTTCTTCACTTTCTGGATATTTATCTTCATTATCTGATTCTTCTGGAGGCAAGTGAGAATTTTTACTATCAAATCTAACCAGCAATTGACTTCTTAGTTTTTTTTCATCTTCATTTAATTCTGATGATTTCTTGGAAAGTTGATCATATAGTTTTGACTTGGCTTCCAATATAGATCTAAATAAATTGGGCACATATTTATGACTTAAAAATTACCCATTCTTATCAAGTTTTTTTTAAATAAAAATTAAAGGTAAAAAATTAAATACAAAGTTTGTATTACAAACTCATATCCCCAAAATGATAAAGATTATAAAATAATACTAAAACACTTTGAGTGCGTTCGAAATGAGAGTGTACTTTGGATAGGTAGGTATATAATCACGTGGCTTTACATTATGCCTGACTTCCTTGTTATTTTCAAACTCCGCGGAGCATATACCTATAAACTTTATGTGGTAGTGGTAGACAAAACCCATAAATATTTTTCTCATATTGGTAAGCTTGGGAATCATTTTAGTTTCTTCAAATTGAAAAGATGCACTGAAGTCTGCATCCATGGAGCCTACACAAGGAGCCCGAACTTAATAGGGAAAATTGACAAAACCTGCCCTCTAAATTGCACAAATTGCACCAGCGGCGCTGATTGTTGATGCGTCCTGACGTCTGCTCTTTTGGTAGCGTTTCGGTACAAATTAGTCAATTGTTTCAGAATAAACGGGACACCAGCGCCTACTTTACTTAGGAAGATTCTTGTTTACATGCAGTTCGGACTCCTTGTGTAGGCTTTATGTCTGCATCAAACTTTGATGATCAAATAACATACGCAATGGAAATGCAACATTTATTTTCTGCAAGTTGGCAGGGTTGAAAAAAACCAGGGTTAAGTTTAGGTTATCCACTAGCCACCCAACCCTGCAAGTTGGTGTGACGTTGTTAGCTTTGTTTGTTGTTTTTGGTTGTGCAATTTCTGTATTTAAAGTGGTGATAATTGTAATATTTGAGTTTATTTTTTTTTTATTATAATCTTAACGTTTGGTTTATTAAACAAATCTGTCTGTTTTGCATGTTTGTGAAAAATATATAAAACATAAATAAAGTTTAGGTTACCCACTAGCCACCCAACCCTGCAAGTTGGTGTGACATAGAGGTCTAAAACTATCGATAGTTGGCACTATCGATATTATTCGATATTTGGTCACTTTACTATCGATAACTATCGATAGTTTTCGATAGTGAGAGTAAATTATAAAAAAACATAATTAAAAAATAAAAGCAAAGTAATTATTTATTTTTATTCAAAACTCACATTACAAATTTTACAAACTGCCAGAAATTTTACAAACTTTAAACCTATAAAATCCCACAAACTTACCTTTTGTCTTTTTTCTATTGTTATCTATTGTTAAAAAAACTGTTTCTAGAACTAAGCGACAAAGTTAATTTGTCAATCTTCTCGCTCAGAGCGGCAATGTATCACTTTGCGCTCTTAATACACACATATATTCCATGACGAAACCATGACAAAAACAAACGCAATTTCGGCGCCAAATTTCAAAACAAGACATCGGAATTTAAAACATAGTGCAATTATTTGACAGAATGAGTGTAATGTGAGTGTGCCCCTAACTTTAGTTGCCATTAAAACTTACCAAGATTAAGATTTTCGTGAAAGCTTTAAAGTTAAAGCGTTATAAAACTATCGGAAACTATCGCGATAGTTTTAAAAACTATCGATATTATTCAATAGTTAAAACTATCGATATTTATCGATATTTATCGATAGTTCTATCTATATTTATAGATAGTGCTATCGATAGTTTTAGACCTCTAGTGTGACGTTGTTAGCTTTGTTTGTTGTTTGTGGTTGTGCATTTTCTGTATTTAAAGTGGTGATAATTGTAATATTTGAGTTTTTTAATTATAATCTGTCTGTTTTGTATGTTTGTAAAAAATATATAAAACATAAATATTCTGTTTTTTAACTCTACATTCACATAAGTATTCATTTTAATTTTTGTAAAATGTTTGGGTGGCCTGTCCATTAAATGTTACGATAATATTCTCAGAATGGTGCTAAAACAATTGGACCAGGAAATTCATGATAAAATAATCAAATTTTTTAACTTTTGTCTGCTTAATAACTACTTTCCGAATGAATGGAAAAAAGGATTAATTATTACCATTCCCAAACCTAACGTGGATCACGCTAACCCTGCAAACTACCGGTTCATCACTTTATTGCCCGTAATTGGAAAGACCTTCGAAAAAATAATTAAAAATCGCTTAGAACAGACCATTGGACACAAAATCCCTTTATACCAATTCGGATTTAAAAAGCAAACCTCAACAATACACCCACTAATTATACTAACATCAAATGTACAATCTAAAAGCAAAGAAGAAAATAAATTGGCAGCACTTTTTATGGATATATGTAAAGCCTTTGATTCTGTATGGCACCATGGGTTGCTGAAAAAACTGGTAACATTGGAATGTCCGGAATATCTGGTATGGTTGATAAAGGAATTTCTCACACAAAGAAAATTACAAGTTAAAATTGGCAACAAATTATCCTCGTCCTCCAATTTTATATAACTTATATTGTTATGACAAGTACAACCCCAATCCCCTGTACATAAACGGCCAGAGCTATATTCTACAATTCGCTGATGATACAGTTCTAATAACCCATGGCAAAACTACAACAGAAGCAAGTGTTAAACTACAGGAACTAACCGACCAGGTATCAGCATGAATGTCCAAGTGGAGAATTCTGCCTAGCCCATCAAAATCGCACCTTTTACTGTTTCACCACAAAATTAAAGCGAATTCACCCACTATCAACATCATGCAAAGTACAGTAGAGTCATCAACATCATGTCGTTACCTGGGAATTACAATAGACACTAAGCTAAGCTTCAAACAACATACTAGCAAGGCCAAAACAAGTATTGTAAATTGGGCAAAACAATTTAGAAGCCTTACCTACATATAAAGACCAGGGCATAAATATTAAAATGGCTGCATCCATTTATAAACTAATCTGTCGGCCAGTGTTGGAATATGGATCTGCACTCTTTTAAAATTGCAGAAAACCGACCCTCTCAAACATCGAGATAGGAGAACGTACAAGTCTGAGGAAAATTACAAAAATCCGACACCCCCAAAACCCTTTATTTAACCCATCCAATGAATCCCTTTACCGCATCACTAAAGTCCAACCCATCCAAACAAGACTGGTATACCTTGCACAAAAATTTGCAAATAAAGATCATAACTTCACTGTGATGGAACCTTTGATATACCAAACAAATTCTGAGAAAATACCCTGATAGACCACTGTATGACACACTGAAGCTTACACTGATTTATTTTTGTGATACTTTTTTTTTAACAAATAGAATATTTTAGATATTATAAATGTATTGTAAATGAATATTTATTGTAAATAGGCAGAAAGCCTAAGGTCGTTAGTCTTTTGGAGTAATCCAATAAAGTTTATTTTATATTTTATATATTTTTTTTAAATGTTTACAAAAATTATATTCAAAATAAAAAAAACATAACTAAATAAAACGAGTAATACAGAACATCCTGGCAACGTTGCGTTTAGTTCTTTTGAATTTGTAGATGGCGCTTTATAGCTTCAAAATCATATTGTAAAGATAGCTCTATTGGTTTTGTCTAGGGTTGTAGTGTTCCAAAACCAGGGTTCGCCTTAAATCAACAATTTAAATCAAGTGATTTTTTTATTGTAATCAATGATTTAAATCAGTTTTAAATTTCTAAAATCTAAAAAATCACTTAAAAGATCTAAAACTAAAGCACAATAATTTCTTAACACTATTTAAATAAATTCATTTGCATAGAAAAACTGCTTATTTTGTTAAATGAAATAATAAAGGAATATACAAAAAAATTTATGACAGTTGCAGATGGTGGTTTATTTGTTTATAAAGTTTTTTTTTCAATAGTATATTTATTAAAAAAAGCTTATAAATTAAAAAAATTTTTAACATTTTTGTTGATTTTTTTAATAAAAATCATCAATTTTTGATTTTTTTTAAATCATGATTTTTTCGAACCCTGTCTAAAACCAATTGGTTTTGCTTGTTATTTGACTGAATACATAGAAATAATAAATTATTGTATTTCAACCTTTTAGTTATGTGGTTTATTGAATAAACTTTATTCAAGTTTTTGTGATAAATTTTTTTTGTTTTTAGAGTTTTTATTGAATTTTAAACAGATAATAAATTATTTGAAGGTAAATTCAAATTATTGTTTGATGTGCCCTATGCACATGTCGGGTAAACCTAATCTAAAGCTTGGACAACCAAGAGTGCACTCTGGGCATATACTTGCTGTTTTCAAACAGTTGACAGTGATATATTTTTAGGTACCCAGAAAACATTTGTGATATCCCGAAAAAGTCACGGCGTGACATGTCACAACTTGATATCCAATTGCTGGCACAGTGATTAAGTTTGTCGTTTTATGTCAAGCAGTGACATGCGCGTGATCTTTTTATGTCACGACGTGACATTACTTTAATTTGTTCATAATACGTTAAATACGTATTATGTTATTATTGTTAGACAAAGACTTTTCTTTAATATTTAATATTTTTCTTTAATATTAACCATATGTTTTTAAGAAATTATTTCCGCAAAAATATATCTATATTATAGATTCTATATATATAACTTCATTTTATATTTGTTTTCGATTTTGCAAGCGATTTTAGTACGTATGTATGTATGTATCTTGCTATAGTAAGGGATACATGGTAATATATTGTATACTCCATTTGCTCTGGAATAAATTTAAGGTGTAAAACTGTTATCAATATTGTCAATAGTGAAAAGATATTTTTGTAGGTTTTTAAATGTCAATAGGAATTATACTTTAAGAAATATCATACTTTGTCCAGAAAAAAAAAACTGGGAGAAAACCTGGATTTACTGAAACCATTGAATTCACTGTCCCAACATGCGACGGGTCTCGTATACACATATTTATGTATACATATACAGGGTGCATGGCAGGTTGGTTAAGCCATTAAACTGAAGAAAATTTATGTAATTATCCCAGTAAACATTTGTGATTGCGTATTGAAATCACTCCGAAATCTCGTCGTGATATTGTGATATCACTGGCGCATTCATATGTTT